CCCTGGGTGTCTAGGAATTATCAACGATAAGAATATGTTATGTCATTGAAAGGAGACACCGGGGGGAGATTAAGGGGGATAATGAAGATGGGCCAACATGTGTATGGGGCAGCCATCATTCCATAAGGATTGAACCCATCTGTTGCCAGCGCGACACGTACATTACGAGCCTCATCTGCTTTGTCACGATGTTTGTCATTAAAGCGGATCCAAGCTTCACCATCGAATGGATGTACCATCTTGTCAGGATTGTACCATTTGCCATTTTTGTGCCATGTCATCTGTTTCATGGATTCCTCAGTCATGTATAGCCGTTGGATCCTCGGTAGGAACGGAAGGTACCGTAGGATTTTCACGAGGATCGTAAGTTGCCTCTTCTAGCCATCATTAGAGTCTACCTCTAGGTACCTAGAGGATTTACACTTTGGACAGAACTTTGCATGCTTGTGTTCTTTCCTAAATAGGATGCACCCCTTCGGACAAGCATGTATCTGCTCATATGGCATCTTAAGTGCACGAAGAAGTTTCTGTGACTCGTACATGCTCTTTGGCAGAATGTGGCCCTCCAGAAGCAGGGTGCCAATCACGGCCAACATCTTATCGAAGCCTTCTCGACTTAAGTTTAACTCAGACTTCAACCCCATTAAGCGTCCAATGGCATCCAGTTGAGACACCCTTGACCGATCGTGAAGGGGTTTCTGTGCCGAGTCCATCATGTCGTAGAACGCCTGTGCGGCTGCCTCCATCGCCTCCTTCTCATGTCCCTCATCGAACTATCCTTGGTGAAAGTCATCTAACATGTCTGCTACCCGGCATCAGCATCAAAAGCCTCCACCCGTGGTCTCACCACCTCCTCTCTCATACAATGGGCTTCACCATGGTGGACCCACCGGGTGTAGTCTGACGTAAATCCATTCTTCACAAGATGTCTACCCATTTCCACCTTGTTTACCCTTCTCCTGTTTCCACATTTGCTGCCGGGACACAAAACTAGGCAATGTCCTTTAGCAGCCTTGCCAAACGCACTGTTCAAGAAAGCATCGATCTTGTTCATCCATTCCGTGGTGTAATCACTCTGACTTCTATAGCCCGTGTACATCCACTGACGGTCATCCATCCTCTAACATATGTATCAGCGAGTAATGTAACCATCAATTGCATCTACATTGTGTTCCTACTGTCTAATAGGTGAGGATAGGTCCTAATCCCACCCTCAGATGCGTAGATGAGGTTAGTTTCCATGCTCTACTCCTATCCGAGACAGAATTTCGATAGCACCTCCCCGCTGTTCTCCAGATACACGTCCTGCCAAAGAAGAGTGCGTATCCGGAGAACAACAGCGTGGTGATGCCGAAACTCTATCTCAAACCGGAGCAGACCATGGAAACTAACCCATCTACGCATCCGCGGACTGTCCAAAAAACGTGGACAATCCGAAACAGATACGGTCATAGATATGCAAAGATCTGCATACCCCCAACCGTATCTCTTTCAAACGGGAGACGCCTAACTGGGTTACGCGATCTACGACCATGATTCGGAAAGAGGGGTTATACCTAGGTGGCGGCGGAGTCAGGCTAGCGGGGCCGTGGCGGGTCGGTGCAGTGGTGAGGCGACGCGGTGCAGGCAGACTAGCACGGCGACGGGAACTCCGACTCGGCTCCGACGGGCTCTTCTCTACAAAAATGGAACAAAATATTGTCATTTAAAAAAATCGGCAGAACCTCCCCTGCACGGTGAGGTTTCCAAAACCTGCAAAAAACAACGGCACGATGGCCGACAAGCACATATGTCTCAAGAGAAGCCATGTAGTTTGGATATCAATCCATGTAGAAGAATATATCTAAGTAGTACCACTACTTCTACTACTACTTCCACTATTGCTACTACTACTACCACTAGTTCTACTACTACTACTACCACTATTGCTACTACTACTACCACTAGTTCTACTACTACTACTACCACTACTTCTACTACTACTACTACCACTAGTTCTACTACTACTACCACTAGTTCTACTACTACTACCACTACTTCTAATACTACTACTACCACTAGCACTACTACTACAACTAATACTACTACAACTATCACTACCACGACAACAACAAGAGAGAGGGCATACCTGCGGGTGCCGGGGGTAGGGGCGGGCGGCATCGAGGTCGGGGTCGGGGTCACCAGAGTCGGGAATGGGGTCGGGCACGGCAGGCGGTCAGGCGAAGCGGTCCACGGGCGCTGCAGGTAGAGCCTAGGGCTCCTCCTCCTCCTCCTCCTCCTCCTCCTCCTCCTCCTCCTCCGCCTCCTCCTCCTCCTCCTCCTCCTCCTCCTCCTCCTCCTCCTCCCTCCACCCCTTGGCGTTGGCATGGGTGGCGTGGCTGGTAGCCACCACGCCTTCGGCCACACGCTGGCATGGGCGAGGGGGCGAGCCACACGCTGTGCGTGTGACACATGTAGAGATGTCCTGGTTTGTAAGCATCGTACATGACAACGTGCACGAAATCTTCTGAAATTTTTATCATAGCCTCCACATACGATATCACGATATGTCAACAAGTTTCATGATTTTCAGACTTCGTTTGCTTTTTATAGAATTTAAAAACACTTCGCACGCAAGTTCGCGGTCATGTTTCGTGAACAAGATGTCCGAAATTTCGGGTCCGTTCCTGGATACGGCCTCACACTACACTCAGTAACATGACTATCATTTTTTGAATCATTAAATTCCATTATTCGTACCACGTGCAGTTCAATTTTATATTTTTCAAAAAAATCAAGTAAACGAAATAAAGTAACTAAATATATCAAAAAGCCACAAAAAAATCCTCAAATTCTAACGAGGAGTTCCTGGTACTTTAAAAGGGCTGCACAAAAAATTTAGAGGTCAAAAACAAAAAAAAACTTTGCCGAGCGCCGGGGCATGGCACTCGGCAAAGGTTTTTTGAATTTTTTTTAGAAATTTCCTCTTTGCCGAGTGCCTTCGGGCACTCGGCAAAGGTATTTCAAAAAAAAGTAATTTTTTTAATTCCTCCCTTTGCCGAGTGCCGAAGCTATTAGTCACTCGGCAAAGACATTTCAAAAAAAATATTGAATCTTTGCTGAGCGCCGTGTCAGGGGCACTCGGCAAAGTATTTTTTTTAAAAAAAAATCTGTCGAGTGCATAACAGCAGGCACTTGGCAAAGAAGGACGTGGCCGAACACCGTTACGCGGGACAGCCTATGCCGAGTGCCGCGCTTTTGCCGAGAGCCTGGCACTCGGCAAAGAAGTCATTTGCCGAGTGCCCGGCACTCGGCAAAGAAGGTATTTGCCGAGTGCCCGATTTTTGACACTCGGCAAAGCAGTTTGCACTCGGCAAAGGCCCTGTTTCCAGTAGTGTCGTCATGGAGGCGGCTGCTCTACAGCTACTACTAAGTCCTAGGGTTCAACTCATATTCACCATACTCTTGTGGACAACAGCTCCTTAGCCTAATAAGTACTCCCTCCATTCCACATTATCAAATGTTTTGTTTTTCTAAATACATAGCATTTGCTATATACTTATGCATCCTCCCCCCTTAACCATTGACCACAACAGCAAGACGTCAGCGTAAGTCCTATGATAGATTGACACTTCGTCAAAGTGTTCAACTTGCACAACATGGTGTGCTAAAAGATTTGGACATTGTTGAAAATGATGGGAGGCTCAATGAGGATGCCATTCAAATCTACGTAGATTGTTTATAGAAATACCACCAGACCTCCTTACGCCATTGATGGGTTTAAAAATTTGTGCCTTCTGGGATTGGGTGGCAAAGGTTTCTTTGCTTCTTGGTTTAGTGTTGTCTTCGTTGTGAGTTGTTGTGTAACTACTTGCTCTTGTTTTAAGCGGGTTGTCGTTACCAAAGTTGCATTAGTCATTGTAGTTGCTTGTTTTCTGTTTTTCAATTGTAAACTCCTTCTGGATGTGTTGTCTATCCTGTCTGGACTTTTTTTTATCAAAATATAATCGGTGGCTCTACTGCTCGGTTGGTTTAAAAAACAAATAAACGAGAAATGACTTTGAACAAAGGCCCGATTATGTTTGCAGTAAACCTCCTCAAGTTTACTAGCCCATGATCATGGGTGAAAACGTTCGATGGCACTGCTATAGCTCATAGTATAGTTCACACCCGCCAGACCACAGAACTTTGATTCCTACCCTATGCAAATTTGGGTAACTATTTCTATACTTTATTAGAAAATTTAGTTATTTCTGCATGAGTTCCCTTTTGTCGTTGTAAGAGCATCACCAACTGATTTCTAAATTAAACCCAGTTTCAATCTCAGTGAAGGGGAAAAATCACCCTCCAATAGTTTTGTATAGCGATTCTCAATTTCTACACATATGGCCAAGAACTCCCAATCACATTGGCGAGTGGGTTTTTTCCATCTCGCACAACTTGTTTTTCGGATTTTTTTTTTCATCTCGCACAACTTGCGGTCCTGCTCCTCCTTTTTTTATTTTTCAGGAGCATATTATTGAAAACTATTGGAGAAGGACAACAATTCCCTCCCTACTTTTTTTCAGGAGTTGGAAAATTCATAAACTTGACAAGTGAATTTTTTAACGGTTGGAGATGCTCTTATGTCGGAATACCAGCACCTTAGACAATGCTAACACAAGTCTTTCATTCATAGTACACCACAAGAGGCAGATAATATGAAGCGTGTTGTCATAATATGCATGGATGCACAGGTTTTATTTGCTGTTGGTAAACCTTTTCCTGCCTTTTGAAAATGCTGCATAATCTTTGCCTTTATTTATATTTGTACATTTAGATACAATACAAGAAGATAGCAAGAGTTTTTACAACGAGCGGTACAAACAACGCCTAGCTAGATGCCCTATGCATCAGAATTATTTCATGTTTAAACAAAGCAAAACAAAGCACACGGAATATATAATCTCGGAAATTACATGTACAGTAGGATGGCAGATGCAGCGATTGAGCAGGAGCTAGCAGATGCATGGTACGCTTCATCATTTGGTCATCGGAGGACTGCCATGGCCATGGTTGGGGCTAGGGCCTGGAGTGGTTGGTGGGAACGAATCGGTGTCCTTGTTAGTTGCAGCTGCAGGCACCTGCAGAACCCTTCTTCCAGCGCATGGATAATGGTGCGTGCTCATGGTGGCAGCAGTGAGCTGCACGAAGCAGCAGGTGGTGCTGAGCAGCATCATGGTGATGAGCACAGCAGCGACGGTTTTCGACGAGATGGCCATGAAGTTTACAAGCTGCAGGACACGGTGATCTTGATAATGCTAGCTAGCTAGATAGTTTGGAATATGGGATCGGGAAGAGGAGGATGAGAGAACTCAGCAGCCAGGTCCTTCTTTATATAGGCAGATTGTGCCACTGATGTAGTTCAAAAGATAAACTTTTAATTAATTTATTTATGGGACTTGGTTAGTGGAGTACCGACACCACTTACAGATATCACCGGCGAATTGTTTAGGACATCTAAGCTTTACCAAACTGAACAGGTCAAAATATATATGCAGTTGTGTATTTGTTTGCACTTAAAACTAATTAGTGCATTTTCTTCTTTATTTCTAGTTTTTGCTTACCTCTCCTGGTGGTTTAAAATAATAATTCCATTCGTTTAAATTTGAAGTTAATATCTAGATAGCATGGAAGCTCATACAACTTGTTAGGTATCACATTCATGTTACCACTTCCACCTGCACACACCCACACACACAAACAGGACTGGACAGAAAACTTATGGCTTGCTCGCTCGCTTGGCTCGATGGTAAGTTTGTAACTTGACTCAGCTCAGCTTTGTTTGCTTGTTTTTAACGAGACGAGTTAATATTTTAGCTCATACTCTCTCCGTCCTGTAATATAGTGCATTATTATAGCATTCAAAAATTGTCCTCACATATAACGCATTCTAGAGGACAAAAACCAATTCTGCATTAAATATTTTTCATTTATCAACCAATCACCATTAATCACGTTAATGATAGTTTCTGATTAGGAAATAAAATGAGGGTACATGTGTCTTTTATATTCTCTCTTAATTGTCTTAAAATTCCTAGAATGCACAATATTAGAGGACACTGAACCAACAATAATTAGGCTTGATGTTATGTTGTACACATGAAGGTTGAAGTCAAGAAATAATGTATGCATTATACTTTTTTCGGCTTGATGTTTTGCATGGAACGAATTAGTAGCTATTGATTTATTCATTAGTTGAAACAAGCTGGCTCGGGAGCTAAACAAGTCGAGCCGAGCTAGAGTTAAGCTCACTTTCGTTCTTAACAAGCTAATTAATCTAGCTTGTTATATCCAGCCCTACGCAAAGACACAAATTTTCTGACTATGATATCAACAGGCTGCAAAAAATAGTCAATTTGTTTTAAAGGAGAGGTTAAGTGATTGGTTAATTTTGGAAGTTCAAGACGGATAGGAGTTTGATACTGCAATTCAGGGTTGAAAATCATATATAGTTACCAATCATCTGCCACCCTATATTTTCAGAATAAAACCATCAGTCCTCATTTGGAATGGAATAGGGTATTATGAGCATGGCTTTTGGATCAAAGGATTATCCGGTTCCTTTCCTATAGAACACTGTTACAGGCTTCTTATTTCAAAGGAAAATGAAAATCCAGTCTGAGCCCAGGTTTTCTCTTCCTTCACAAAGTACAGGACAACCACGCGTGCTTGGACGCTAACTACCTTGTGCACATCACTGTTCCCAGTTTGCACTGAGCAACACACATACTGCAACAGCTACACAGATAGCTGTACGTTGTAGTAAGCACTAAAGTTCATTTCATTATTTCTAAAGTTTATTTGATTCTACTTCTTGTGTTCCAAACATGTCTTCCCATTTACTTCCTGTATTTTCTAATCCTCTATTTTGCCAACATCCCTTTTTCTATTCTTGTGGTTTCTTTTCTATTTTTCTGTTTCCTTTCCTTTGTTCCTGCGTTCCTGACCACGATAATGAGCATATATTCTACTAAAATTATTTGTAACACTCTCGATCAACATTTCGGCAGCACCAGGTTATCAAGGACTGTATCTCATGGAAGCATCATTAGACTTTAGATTGGCAGACCGAGGTACTTTGGTTCAGTAGATTGTATGCATATTGTAATGGTAATGACTAAATGTGCATATTTATATAACGCTCTACGTACCATCACATTTTACAGGGGCCATTCGGTGGAGGAATCAACATCCAAGTTGGAGGTTCTAATTTGGCTCTCATATAGCTGGGTATAGAAAAGAGTCTTAAACAGCTCATGTTGAATGGTAAAGGGATATATATCTATATGGTTATGATTTAAAGAACCGTGCCACTACAGATTGCTTCTCTTCGTCTTTGGGAATTGGAGTCATGTTCCTAGTACTTTCAGTCAAATTTGGAAAAGGCACTTTGAAGCCATTTAGCTTTGTTTTGACTGGCTGGAACTCGTTCAATGGTTTATGCCGAGGTTCCATTAGGCATCATGCATCTTTTGTGGAACAAGAACAAGGTAACATCCTTTGTGGAACAAGGCAACTGATCTACATTTACATATTTTTGTCTTTTTATATTGATCACTAATAAACGAAAACATGTTGTAAAGCCGAAAGAGTTTCGTATTCTTGCCAACAAACTAAATTGTGCCTAGAGTGAACAGAATCGAGGGAGTTCCACCCCTTAACATCAGCGTTCAATATGCTCTCACAAAACTTTATGCAAAGGACTTGAGTTTGGAGAATTGAAATCAAACCTGCCTCCAGGTGGTGAGTTTAATTAGCATCTTGTTAAGGTAAGAGGGAGATTAGCTATAAATTATTTGGTAAAGATCAACCTGGATCTGGTTTATGCATAAGAATAGAAAGGAAACAGAGCTTTTTTCTTTTGCGGGGAAGAAAGGAACCAAAGCTTGTCTATAATTTCTCAGTACAAATTCATCCTCTTCCATGGATACAAGAAGAGCACACAGCTGTGCCAAAAAATGTAATGTAGCAATTAAAAGAAGGCTAGGAAAGATTTCTAACACTTGGCACTAGAGAACATTGAGGAACCTTTATTCAAGAGCTGCAAGCTTTTCCAGCAATTCCAAAATGCTACATTAGTTAGGTGGTGCAAAGAAACACGGGCACCATTGCATGTTAGGATGGGGAAAGGAAAATCAACTCGTAATTGTAGGGTGGAAAAATTCAAGGCGTAGTATCAGGTTGATTTCACAGCTGTTGTGATTGATTTAAGAAGAGCTGGTGACGGCCTTCTTAGAGTGTGAGTGAGAAGGATCATAAGTGACAATAGAGTCAATGCTCCAGCTTGGTGCGCTGAGCCCAAAGAGGTTGGAACGTACATCAATAGTGTAGATATGCCCAATGTAACCTGAAATAGAATATTTAACATTATTATTGGTGTTGTACACTAGTTCGTTAGGGCTTGGTTATACTCTTCATGTGCCTCAAAAAATGAACTTGTTCATGTGATGCAATAACTTCATCTGGCACATCAGCACACATATTGGATTGTGCACAACAATTGATAGTTACTAGCAGGAACTAACAAATGAGCTGGATGTATTACCTGGAGAGCAGCCATCCCAAGTGTGCTTCCGATCAGTGACTTGACTGCTGGATGCATGTCTATTTTCCTTGCAGCCAACCATAATCCACCCACAGAGAATAATGTGGTTGTTGCAAGAATTCGGTGATTGAGCTACAAGAATGAGAAGAGCTTGTTAGTCTACAAGACAGGTGAAGAACTCTGGACAACACAGTTCCTGTGGTGATGCACTCCAAAATTTCTGGTGCAGATCATCAATGCATATTGACACAAGAACTTACTGAATACTTATATGACACTTCTTGCAAAATGGTCAATGCATACTTTGGAGAAGAAACAAACTGTTATGCTACTGTACTACCTATTTTGTGGTTCTGCCAAAATGAATTGCTTAAAAACTACTCCCTCCGCTCCAAATTATATGCTGTTTTGGCTTTTCTAGATATATAGTTTTTACTATGTACCTAGACATAGCATACACTATCTAGGTACATTGCAAAAGCTATGTATCTAGAAAAGTCAAAACGGCATATAATTTGGGACGGAGGGACAAGAAGCAAAGAGAGTGACTGAAAAGTCTCAGATAAAATATTCCAGACAACATGTGGAGCTGAACTCCTTTGTATGAGAACATGAACAGATCTGTAAACTTAACATTGCGAGAAAAAGTTACCTGTACTGTAGATGTATTCTCAAAAAAATTGCGTATGAAAGGCTCCATACTAAATACATCTTCAGGAATCCAACTGTCACCCATCTTTGGGAATGAATTGTATGCATGCCCCTTGTCATAGCAGTAATAAATAATTAGATGAAAGAAAGAAAACGTAAACATAGTTTCGAGACAAACTACAAAACACACGCGGAGAATGTAATACTTACTGCATCATTGCCTGCAACAAATGCTCCAGATATTGCAGTAATGCCTACAACAGCACTGACAGGAATTGCCAACTTTCTGATTTTTGCTGCACCATTTACCCAACTCATTGATCCGGTTGGAGGATCAGGCATCACTACTGACAAAGCAGTCCACAATATACCACAGTATATAACAAATGCAGATGTCAGGTGAGTTGCCAGCCTGTAAGGGCTAACCCTTGGTTGAACATACTCAGATGTTGGTTCCTGAGGTGGAAAAAATAGTGAAGTTCAAAGCCTCAAAGTAATTAAACACAATGTTCAAGAAGGCGCTAGGCGGTTTCTAGGCGACGACCCATGGCCTAGAGCCTAAGCGAGCCTAGGCTAGCCTAGGCGTTTCAAGGCGTTTTTCTAGGCGTTTTGCTAAATTTGCATTCAGCATGTATAGCTGAATAAATATATAAATGTAGTAGCTGAAATGCTGAATAAATAGAAGTTCCTACAGCAATAGAAGTGGTATCTTGTGAAAAAAATAGAAGTTCTAGGGACTAGAATGTAAGAAATCAGTTAAGGAAATCATAGCAAGAAAATTTGCAGAAATTTTTACAAAGTGGAGGGGCAAGTCGCAAAATCGCTCTGTCCTATCCACATCTCATCTGCAGCACGAGCAGTGCGTCTTCTTTCCCGTGACCTTCTTCTCCCTTCTTTCCCGTGACCTCTCTCTCTCTCTCTCTCTCTCTCTCGGTGGAGGCCGGCTGCAGGCAGGCAGGCCGCAGGCTCAGCCTTCGTGCGTTGCCGCAGCTTCGCCTCGCGCGCTCCCCACACCATCACGAC